CTCCTACCTCTTTTGTCTGTAACTCACTATTATTTGTCTATTTGTTTTCCTGAGAAACTATCTTGTAGATAACAATATGTAAAACAATAACCATTGATAATTTCCTACCACTTTGTCTGTAATTTGGTAAGCCCCCCCCCATTATTGCTATCCTTCTCTTACTCTTTAAAATAAAAAAAAAAGAAAAAAAAAAAGAAGAGGTACAGAAAGCAGGGACGCTGGGAGGGCATGGGGAGTAGATAAAGATGGCTCTCACTCTGCTGTGTGCAACTCTACATTGAGGGGAAATTTTACTAAGTTAACCACGTTACTTATCTTTGAGAAAAATCTGTGATACAATATACATCAAATTTACCACTGGTAGCTCGTGGCATTAAGTAATTCACATCATGAGCAACTACTACCACTATTTGTCTCCGGAATATTTTTCATCTTGTAAAATTGAAATTCTGGGGGCTGGGGATTTAGCTCAGTGGTACAGCGCCTGACTGGCAAGTGCAAGGTTGTGGTTTGATTCCCAGTACCAGAAAAAAAAAAAAAACTGAAATTCTGAAGCATGATATTATTTTTGTAATTTAAAAAATAATTTACCATGAAGTACTTGGAAAACAAATGACTGGCTTTCATTTCTCTTTCTAACAAAAAATAAGAAGTACAAAAATGATTTCAAACTTTTCTCAGAGGAAAAATCCAGCAAGATTCAACTTTCTACCAAACATGACTCTCAAAAAATCCACAGATTAACTACACACTGCTTTTCCTTAAATCTAGGGGGTTAATCATAAGGTGTGCAATTGCCTCATCCACCAATAACAAAGAAAAATACTGCTGATCACCATCCCATCATGCCAGCAACTATAAAATGCATGCTAATTTCAGAGATGTTAAAAAAGTGTATCTTTAAAAATAGATAAATCACTGTAGGTATCAATATTTTCCTGTAATGCCTAAGGATTTAAAATTATTAAAAAAAATAAAATTATATATTCTATGCCACTTAAGTGTTGAACAAAGCATCAACAACAAATTTGGTATATATAGAACACTACGGTATTACCGATACCATATCAAACACTGTATTTCCTTTTTACAAAGGAATGCTCCTTTAAAAAAAATGGTCAAGTAAATTCAGGAGGAATGAAGAAATAGTATAAAGAGAAACAAAATCTACCTATAAAAGGACAAGTCTTTCGCAAATGTGAATGAAGGGCATTGTACACAGAATGTGTGACAATCTACACACACTCTGCGACGTGGTCACATGGAAGGGAAATGATTCCCCAGCCCTACTCCAACTCAGGAAGTCAGTGATAACACTAACCTGGCTCCCACGCAAGTCAGAGTACCTGACTGCACGCTCCTTACACAGAATTAGTTTTGTTTGTTTGTTTAGTAGTTAAAACAATTCTTTGAAAATGTAAATGATTTCAGCAGTTGGCACATAATAAAGGTTAATTCTGAATAATGCCCACTCCTATACAGTAAGTGACTTAAAGATGTCACGTGTGTGCAAAAAAGCAGAAATCACCTCCAAATGAACATCTCATCACTTGCCACCAGCCACAGTCATACTTCCTCAATTTCTACCTGTACAAAACAGATACCCTCAAAACACAACAAAACTAACTCACAGGGAACACAGGCTTGCTAGAGGTGAAATGTATTTCTATTCATGGTACTTCTGAAATTTAATTCTTAGTAGTTTGTACTATCTTATGACTGACTTTAAAAATATAACGAATAAAAGCAATTTATTAACACATGCCATGCCAGTGAACCAAAATGTGATCCTGAAAACAAACCAAGTTAAATGTGTACCTAAAGGGGCCGACCCCAGAAGGCAAGAACACTAAAGCTCTAATTCCAGCCTCCAGAGGAACAACCTGTTAAACAGGCACTCATCTATAGGGCACACGTTCTCAAATCAGGCCACTGGAGAGAGAATCTTCATTACTTTGACTAAATTATTCTTTG